TCGTTAGACTTTTGTCATAAAACTTTGTTAGCTTATTGCAAGCGATCTATTATTGAAACTGATTCGTTCGAATGAAATGATAATAAATGCAATTTACAAGTTATTTAAAAAGCTCTCGTAACGATAGTATAAAACCGTTTCAAAGTTTATTCATTATTAATCGTTAAACGGATCATACTATCTCACAACAATAGAAAGGTCTGTTCTTATGTTATTTTCTCGCAGGAATCAGAAATAAACACATTGGTGCATTGAAAAAGACATTGCTATGTTTTTGGATCATTCAGGTACCTCTGATCAAGCAATCGATACTTTATTGTTATCTATCATGCAGTTGAGTTCTATGTCGAGGGAGAATCGAGAAAAATATCATATCTTCTATTCATAGAGATAATGTCATAAGAGAGCTTGTAAAGTATCAGGCGAATGCGCTAATCGTTAATATCGATGATTATCACAACATTCATGGTTTACGCATTCCAACAACTATGTCGACCAGTACGGTTGCTCACATGACTACAGTTCTTGCCATCCCGATATCTACAGCAAGTGCGATTCCAAAGAGTGTCGGAGATGCAAACATACATAACCCACGACTCGTTGACAGTAGTGTTTTGATTACTCAAATAGAAAATCGGTTTATGGCTCTTCTATCTCAATTGTTTAATGATCGCACTTATGAAATAAATATATTTTGATCAGCCAATCATACAAATGTCTGATATGCTACCTCATCCATGTCACCTGGTCAATGACAAAGACTTTGGGTAGGTCAAATGGAACTGGCCCCGAGAGTAGTTGGAGGACAAGTTGATTAAATTGATCATTTTGACCATTTGACAGAAATAGCAACAAATTCTCTGATAGGTTGGTGTCAACTAATTTCCTCAGGAGTTTGCCAAAGCAGTGGAGATAATGCAAACAATACACCACTTGTCTGCTGTTGAAAACCTCCAATTTACCACCAAAGCAGTAACCATCAATCAAAAGGCTGCAGACTTTACATATCTTCATCTCACTCCATTTTTTTTCTTGTCCAATTTCCTGGAGAATAGGATTGATGTCCTTAACCAAGATACCACACACATCCTGGTATTCTGGGTCCCACATCAAATCAAAGTCAATATTGAATCTACTGGCAATGGCTAGAGGAGTAATGACAACCACCAGTGCATGATTTCTGGTATTTTCAAGGGCTAACTTGAGTGACATAAAAAAGTGGAAGTACCCAAAAGTTTGACATTTAAGGTATTGTTGGAAAGGATCCACATCTTAATCTGGGGATAACAGAACAGAGTTGACTGGAGAGTCATACTCATCAACAATGATAATTATCTGTTTTTGTGGTCATTAATTTTCATTCTCCATACACCAATTTAAATTCACAATGCTTACCCAGGTTTTTAGGTGCAAACAAGGTAGTGGAATCTTCCATTGGTAAAATAGAAAAACCAAGGCCATAATTTTCACAAAAATCGGTCAAAGCATTTCTCAGTTGATTTTGAAAGTTCTGCTCAAAAACAGTGAGTGCATGGAATTTTATTTTCAACCACCAACTATGGTTTTAACTCTTATAATTTGTTCATGTGTTGCAAAAAGCATATTGGTATGCAGAATAGAAATTCAGAAAATATTATAACTAAGATTGCAATACATAATAGCATACATTCATGGAAATTCTGTCTAATTTACATACTATGAAACGGCAAGTACCAACAGCCAAAATAACATATCCATCTAGAAATTTCTCATTCCTATTGGTTATTATTC